ATATATATATATATATATATATACCAGTTACTCTAAGCTGTATTTTAAATTAGTTCCATTAATGCAGATTCCTTTTTGCACATGTTTTTGATAAGCCACTCCAAACACAAACTCAATCCCCAAATACTACTTTTCAATGATTAGTCCTGCAGGAGAGGAAGATGATCATGGAGCTCTTTGGCCAAATTAAGTATAGAATGTAGAGGAGGGGAAAAAAAAGTCATGCCGTATAGTTTTTCTTTCATCTGTTGAACTTTGCTCAGGTTATTTTATTACGACTTAACTAGAGGTGAGTTAAGGGAAAGACTTAAGAATACAAGTTTGCATTTCTTTCGCTGTGAGTGTGTAAGGAACCCTGGCGTCCTGCCCCAGTCCTGGAGCAGAACACATCAAGATGGCTCTCCTTGTTTGCTGAGTTTTGTTCCAGCCTTGCTGGTGAGAGCTACTTTTCTTCTGAAGCATTGCAGAGGTGGTTCAGAGGCTGTAAGGACGGTTTTGTGCTTTTGTTACCTGCTCGCTGTGGCACTGGTGGTGTCCAGACACGGCCTCCCCATAATGCCACAGTGTGTGTTTGTCCACTGGACTCCTTATTTCCAGTTGGAGCAAAAGAATACAGCTTTGCAAAGCTAAAGCATGCACCATTGAAGGAATTTAGACTTGGCCACATGTTAAATGAACCAGTCTCAATCAGTTCTAATTGCCTTGTGTGTTTAGAGTTTTGTGTTTAAAATCCTATTTATTTGGGATTTGGAGCTTTCTGCAGGCCACTGTATAGAAATGGGACAAACAACATAGACTCTACATTGTGTTCACTTGTCTTAAAATGCTTTTGTGGCTTAAAAATGTCATAAACGTTTAAGCATAAGAATTCAATAATAAATTTGCTTTGCTTCTTCAATAATATAGAAATAAATGTAAAAGGGAGTAACACAAATGAAAATGTGTTTTTAAATATACTAAATACTGGGATTTCAGTTCCATATTTGTGCCAGTGGACACTGCAATTCAGCGCGGGACTCGTCTTGAAGATTGTAAGGTCTTTCAGATTAACAGCTGATTACACTTAACTGTGATCATGATAAGTCTTTGTTTTCAGTCTGTTTATTCCTTTTTGTTCCTTTTTAACATTTACAGTTTCTCATGTTCTAGTGGCTCACAGTTTCTAGAAAGAGGTGTCCCTGCCCATGGCAGGGGGGTTGGAACTAGATCATCTTTAGGGTCCCTTCCAACCCAAACCGTTCCATGATTCTTTGAGTGAGGACTTACTCCTGTTATGAGTAAATCATTGTTGTTCTCAGAATCAAAACAATGTACGTGGAAAGTGGAATTCATCAGTCCTGACCCAAATGTTTCAGAATGAAAGACTGCTTAGCAAGTGTTTCTGATGTCCTGCTAATATCCAAGAAATAGTGAGGTTTTTGTGGTCAAAGGGGGAAGGCTGTGGTGAGTGCCAAGGACATCTTGGAGCTGACAAGTGGGGAATAGTTGGTGACACCTGCACCTGTCTAGTGAGCTTGTGAAAAGCATAGTGACATATGGTGCTGCAGAAGGTGAACAGAAAAGCCAGTTAACAGAAACGTCTTAAATTTGGCTAGGTCAGTAAAGCAAGGTAGATTGTGTTTTTTAACTAATTACCAATAGTGCTTCTTTTAGGTATAAGACACAGAAATTTCCCAGGGGAAAAGTCATGGCTTGTATTCTAGGAAGACTACTCTGTGATTGTTTTTTATTTTTGTTTTAATCTGATTGTTTGATTTCTAGGAAACACTTTCAGCACATTGGCAGGGTTAGTCTTCGACTGGACAATAGTAAAAGACACAGAGGCTGATGGCTTCTCAGATTCCCACAATGCATTACGGTAAGTACATTTGATTTGTTCTCCAAAGTCTCGTGTACATTAAGTTTGTGTAAAAAAATTTCCCCACATCTAGGCAATTTACTGAATTGATGCTTAAAATCATGCTTACGGGTCAATTGTTTCAGGTAGTTTTTTTTAAGTGCCTACCCAACAGCCTGGACAGTCTCATCCCAGTTTAATTTAACAACTGATAGTGGTAATGTTGCATTAGAGCTTCCTGGACTGCTCAACTAGAAATAAATAGGTGCAATTGTTTATCTTCCTGAAACGTCTTGTGCAAAGGAAAGTTGAAACAGTAAGTCTGTTATCTGAGGATTTCAGCAGAGATTTCTTTTTTAATTTTTTTTTTTTAAGCAAAAATGTCCTCTCCCATTTCAGAAAGGAGCTCTATGAATTGAAGAGTTTCAGGTTTCAGGCAGCACTTAGTTCTGGTGTTGAGATGGCTTTCAAAGCAGCTAACCTATAAATTGGAGTGGACCAAGTGGCTGCTTGTAAGCTAGATACAGCTCCTAAGACCAGTTGAAATAATTCCATGAAAGTTATTCAATATATTGTCTTTCAGACAAAGCAATGAGTAGAAAGCACTTGCTTGGTAAATGAGCAATGGTGCTTGGTTCACCATGTGCACTGACTCAAAGAGTAAGTTAACTGGAATTTGGAAGTGCTGTATTTTGTGGAAACTTCTGTGCAAAGATCTTGAAAGTGCTTTTCAACTCACTAATGAGATAAGTGGTTTTCAGCATTTCTGTATAATAAGTAAATATTCCCTCCATTTAATGGAGTTGGAGTTCTTGCTCAAAAGGCAGAAATCTCACCTGTGGCAGGGACAGAAATAGAATCCAGACCATATGATTCTATATTTTTCCCTCTCCTATATTTGTCACCAGACCATCTTTGACCCCTGTTCTGGTGTTGGTTCTTTTAATTTATTTTTTGAGTTTTGCTAAGCCTGTGTAGTTTTACAGTGATTGTTTTGTTCTTCAGTTGCTTCATACAGAAATTTGAGTTTCCATCCTTATTAAACTAACCAGAACTCAAGGCTATTTGGTAGTACCTTGTATGGGATATTTTTCAAGTTACGCTCCAAGAGTTTTGCCTTTGCCCTGCACCAACTGCTGTCAACACACCAGGATCCTGTTACCTAGCAGTACTATGCTAGCATCCATCATATTATATTCCAAGGCGAATACTGAGTTTGCTTAACATGAATGTTGGTAGGAAGAATGGCTCCCTGATAAATGTGAATTTGGCCAGACTGCAAACACATGAAATATGGGTTTTTCTCACAAAACAGACACTTCTTGAGTATAGCTTTAGCCAAAACCTCCCTAATGTATGGTAAGCTTGTAAGATGAAACAGATTCACACTCATGCACTGGAGGCTACATTTATTTCAGAAAACAGGTTCCAGCAAAATGTAGATAGATTGCAGGACATAAAATAATGTAGGAAACTACATCTTCCTTAAAGAACCTGGCTTTATTCGTATGAGGATTTGCTGACTGGTATATGGGGGGACTGGATCTCTCAGAGAGCAGAATGGTTAACAGTTAACTTCCATCCTCAAACCCATACTCCAGATACACTGGAAGTGGGGAAAGGGTAGCAAACAAGAATCTTTGCTACTGGGTAAACACAAACTCCAATTGTTCAGCCTTAGAGAACCAAACACACAGCATTACCTGAGGAAATCCTGCTGAGCCAGTAATACACTTGGAACTGCAGGTATGAGTGTGTGGCCCTTAACTACAGTGAGAGCTAGGCAGTGTGCTAATTGGTCAGTGGGACTTATGATCCAAGTCCTAGTCCATATGGAGCTTTTCTTTTTGGTGTAAGTATTGCTAGAGTGTGTTTTTGACCAAACTGATATTGATATATGCTTTACTGTTAGCACAGCTATGATAACATAATAGTGTTCTAATGGTGTTACAGCTTTGCAACCGATAAACCATCGTAAATATGTTAATACTCATAACTGCTCTCAGTATGTCTTCACTGATTTTACTGTGAAAGTGCACGTGAAGTTGAACAGATCGTGTGCACACAGAAGCTGGCAACCTTTAAAACATGATCCTCTTTCAGTTTCTCTCCTGTCCTTTACCCATTCATGGCAAATTCCTTTCCTCTCGTCACATCTCACCGAAATTTCCAACAGTTACTACAAGTACTCTGCTTGCAGATTTATTTTCATGGTCATTTTAATAAATGCATATGAGCTTCTTCATATAGGTCAAAGTTACGTTCTGGTTTGTTAAGCTGTTGCTTTTATAAACATAAGCTTTGGGTCTTTCACATCAGTTGTTCCACGATGATCTAGAGAGTTTTTGCAGTCTACACCTACTGCAAAAAGTGAAGGGATCATTATAGACAACATGTGCAGTCTTCTGATATCTCTTGAAAGCCCACAAACAAGCTTCAAAGAAACTTTTATCAGTCACAGAATTAGCTGTAGATATCTTGAAGAATGAGTAAAATTTGGATATCTGGTCCCAGGCAGGCATCTTAAATTTGCTTAAAAATGGAAATAGCTGGGAACAGATGCTGGTGGTGTTTCTCTGTGGGTTTACAAAGATTGGTTAACAATTTTCTGTTCACTTTTTGGATCACCTTTCAGTATACTGAAGTTCTTGGAATCCACTTATATTCCACCTTCCTATATTTCGGAGATGGAAAAAGTTGCCAAGCAAGGAGATACCATTTTGGTGTCTGGAATGAAAACAGGGAGTTCTAAATTAAAAGCAAGAATACAGGAAAGCGTCTATAAGGTAAGAAACATTAAATTTTTTTTATTGGTATTATTATTATTTAGTCTTATAGTCCAATGTTAACAGGAGTATTTTAAGTTTGTCCTGATGAATTTGTTCCTGTTGCGGACATCAGTGCTGCGGCTCTGTCGTACTGGGTTGACTCTGTAGCCTGTGTCACAAAAGACAATGCTGCCCTTGATCACCCTGAAGGGGCTGGAGACTGATGCAGTTACCTAATCCAGAATGGTGTGTGTGCCAGAGATTTTTTCTAAACCTAAAACTCTGACCAAAGGCCCTGTGGCAGAGGAATACACTTCAAATACTGATTTGAATTATGACTTTATTATTCCTGATAGCTATTCGTATTATACATATAACGAGAATCGTGCTGGGCAGGCTATTGGCCCTTTAGCTCTTTTCAAAAATAATGGACTAGAACACTTGAGGTCATCTTCTCAGTAAATAAATAGCTAGGACAAGGATTGCTATATTGGATATACTTTTATTTCCTGTTGTTCTTGAAGTGAGTGTCATATGAATACTTTTAGTATCTAATTCTACCTCATTAGATTCTGGCCTCCAAGGAATGGCTTTGGGATCAGAATGTCAGTGTTACAAGGGTGTTAAACTGCAGTATTGGCAGTCCTCCCAGCTGTTAGGTAGATCCATGCTGTTTCTTTCTTTGTAACTTGTGGTGACTGAGTGTTTCATTTAACTCTGGTTAAGAGGGTTGCTTCTTCTCTTAATAGAATTTATGAACACCTGAGAGAGGTTTTATGGGTTGTTGTTTACAAGAATACTTGGCATTGTGCTAGTATCAACTTAATACTGCACCTTAAAAAAAAAACTTCAGAAAACCGCCACCATTTTATAGAAGTTCATCTCGTATCTGCAGTCTGGTTTTGCAAATTTGTGTTTTTACATGTTGTTCTTAATGTTTTTGCTTAAAACAGAATTGCCTTGGACTATTTAACCCATACCTGTAAAAAGTGTTCTATGATAATATTATGTAAGTGTAGGTAATACTAGTAATGTGGCACAAATAATACTGTGTGTTAGGAATTTATTTTTGTTACAGATCTACCTACTTGCACTGAATATAGCTACTCTGATATCAGTCTGACTTTTTTCTTGAATGTTTGTAGCTTGATTAGTTTTTTGTTTTAATATTTATTTTTCTGAATTAGCTTTGAGCTGATATGGTAAATGAAATTGAAAAAATATTGTTCTGTTTGCAATTTTTTATGGCTTTCTGGTTAGTAGTTCCTTTAAATCTTTCACTGCTGCCAGACTGCACATTTTCAGTGAACATCCCTCAAACAACTGTAATAGAATTCGTACAATTACCTGTTGCATTCCTAATTTAATAGACCAATGAGTTTGATACAGATTCCTCAGTGAAGTTACAATGGATATGTTGTAGGGAGGTACCATGTTTTACAGTAGGGAAAATAAATTTCTAGATGTCTCAGTAGTCACTGTGCGTCTGTCTCAAGTTTTTCGGTGTTCTCCAGAAAATTGAACCAAAATGATGTCTGTACAGACTTGATTTTTTTTTTTTTTCAGCGTTGCACAGTATGCATAGAGATCTCTAGACCATTCATTGTCCCTTGCATTTCCCTGTTGTGACAAAGTTTGACATGGTAATAAAGAGCCAATTACAGCAAGTAATATTTTTCACTTACAGATTATAAATTACTGCTGCATGGTCTGTTTCAAACAAAGGAGCTGCTTTAAATGTGGTTGCTTTTTCTTTTCTTTCCAATCAATAGCATGTACATCCTGCAGAAGTCAGATTGCTTATTTTGGAAAACATCCTTTTAAATCCAGCATATGACATTTATCTTCTGGTAGGAACATCAATTCAGTACAGAGTTCAGAAAATAAGGCAAGGGAAGATTACAGGTTTGTCATGGGTTTTTTTGGTTAACGCTTTGCATGATTTTTTTTTTAACTGCTGAGAAATTTTGAATTGTGTGTAAACTATGTTGTTAATATTTAATACTGCTTTCCTAAACCACCAGTTTAAAAAAAAAAAACACTTTTTTTTCCTGTAAAAAATATTGTGTCTGTAAAGGTTTTACTCTTGAAGATTTGTCAAGGACATGAAGATAAGGGTAAGTTAGAATAGGAGTAAACACCATCGTTTTAGATATGCTCATTTATTTCACATTGACTAAGAAATTGTGTTGGACTTTCTTAGTTAAATGAAATTTAGATTAGTAACTCCTCTAACAGAAAATGTTTTCTTGACAAATGACTTTGCTCCACTTCTACAAGTGTGGTTTAGCGGCCTTTATGTCCCCTTAGAAGTGTGGAAGTTTGTAATTGCGTCCTTTTTTGGTTTTATAGAAACGAGGTAGGGAATGTTTTACTGGGCTGGTAGGCCAGGCTCGCCAGGCCAGCTGGGAGCACAGAACAGAGCGGCAGAAATTGTAGAACGTAATTTGGCCACTTTTAAAGCTAGAAATTAATTGGATGTTAGGTGTAATCAGTGGGATGATGCTAGTTGGCAATTGCACCTTCAAAAATTTAGTTGAGAAAGTCATTTTGAGAGTGTGCATTGATGCAATCACAGAAATGCTATTTCTACAAGGCGTTAGAAATACTGATTGAATGTGCGCGCTAGGCATCAATAAAAATTAATCAGCAATAATTGGCAGCATTCAAACACTGACACACTTGCTTTTATTGTTTCATATGTTGTCTTGTTTTATGTACAGAATTAGCGATGCCGTCTGATCTGTATGAGCTGCAGCTACAGAACAATGTACTTGATCCCGAGGGAGATCTGTCTTGGCCGGTTGCCAAGCTGGACCAGAAAACATCGGTTGTAACTGCATTGCAGCAGGGTCAAACTAACCTCGTACTTGGACACAAGAGTATCCTTCCTAGGTGACGCTTTTCCATCCAGATCTTTGTGGCAGGAGGCAAACTTTCCACCCTATGCAGCGCAAAAGGATAAAATTATCCACACTGGTACCAGTAGTCTTGCGAATCAGGAGCGCCTGGTGGAGCCACAGAAAGCAGCACTGCTGTGAATTCAGTCTCAGCAGAGCTGCCTTGAAACGTTCTAAGAAATTAGACTGGCAAAAGATGAGTTAAATCATATCTGTTCCCCTCAGTCAATGTGGAATTGCGATGGGGCTTTATTCTTATATTTCGGGCATTATATTGTCTAGTGGAATCTCTCTCAAATGCTCACTGCCTTTCAGGGTAGTGGGGATAACATTTATTCTCCATGTACAAGTAGCTTTAAATACCCAAAGAAGCCCGAGGAGCCCCAGGAACAAGCTGAACTTTACTTGACTTTTGACAAAACTTTTCTGTTCCTTTACTGAGACTTCAGGTATTCGCATGCAAGGGGTTTCCAGACTACCAAACAGCACTATCTATGTTGTAAATCCTGGGTATTTAGGTTGGTACTGGCTGAAATTTTCCTGATTGCTTAATATAATTTCTTGCCTTGTTTTTGTGTTGGTGTTTTTCTCTGTGTATATACATGTTTCCTTTTCTCCTATTACTTTTCATAGGTAAGTAACTTTATTCATGAAAGTAGCTCAATGTGAAATAGGTTTAGTAGTAAAGTTTTATTTATTTTCTTTCATCTCTCTATTCAGCAGCTTAAAACAAAGAATGTGCATGTACAGAATGTGGACACCAAAAGCAAAATGCTTATATCTGTTATGTGAAGAGGCTGTTGGTTTGTGCTGTTTAATATTTCCTGTTTCGTAGGATTTACGGTTCATCCAGGTGACAGATGGGTCCTAGAAAAAGACAGACTTTATGAAATTACAATTGAAGTGTATGATAAATCAAGCAATAAGGTGTATTTATCTGATGTAAGTTGAAATGTTGATATATTTCTGAGTGTCTGTCTCCTAAATCCTGGCTTTCTTTGAAATTCATTGAGCAGTTTTTTATTTACATAAAGTTAGGACATGTCAAAGCATGTTGTTTCTTGCCTTTTCCTTTTTTCCCTTTGTTTTGTTGTTGGGTGGTTTGTTATTTGGGTTTTTTTTGGTGTGGGGTTGTTTTATTTATTTTAAATAAAGCACTCTGGGGAATTCATGTGAAAATGCCCAATGGAGTCTAAGCGCTGTAGAAAAAACTGGAAGAAGTTGCACAACTGCACTTCAAACATAGCATAGACATTGCAATGGAAATTGCAAACCAGTGTAACTGCTGGAGAGCTGTACTCATACAGTATTTCATCTCATCAGCCCCCTCCCCGTACAACACTGTCACATCTAGAGGCCATCTTTCTATTAAAGAATGAGGTATAAGGTAGGCTTATAACACTCTTGAAGAGGTACCTGTTTCCTTCCAGTTGACCATGGGAAAAGCTTAGATGAGCCTAACAGGTTGGACAGGGCTTTGAGCAACCTGGTCTAGTGGAGAGTGTCCCTGCCCATGGCAGGGGGGTTGGAACTAGATGATCTTTAAGATCCCTTCCAACCCAAACCATTCTATCATTCTGTGATTCGCTAGCATTAAAACACTTCACTGTTTGGTAGTGAAATAAGATAAATTCTAGGTACTAGGTACCAAATATACATTGCTATTAAATTTTGGGGGTTTTTTAATAGTTCATTTGCAAGCAGAAAAACTCTATTAAATAAATTACTGCTTTCAGTGTATCAAATTTATGAGTGTTATTTTATTGGCGCTTATTTGCTTCCTGCAGTGTAGATCTGAGTTTCACCTACATCTCAGGAATGTGCTATTGGGGCAGTATATTTGTGTGTTCTTCCCATTTTGTGTTTAAGAATGACAAAGTTAAGAAATTATATTAAAATGTGAATTATTTATTGGTACAAATATTGGTGCTTTAAACGTTAAATTACATGTTGTTGATAATATTAAAAAGTAGGTGTGTTCCGTGGAGTGAATGCGGTGTCTAAAAGATACAATCTTGTTGAAAGACTAAAACTTTCACAGAGAAAAATTCTTACTTGGTTTTAGATAAGTTTTGTTGAACTATGTTATTAAACAATTGTTTTCTCATTGATTTGTTGCTAATAATATGTTTGTGGCTGTCTGCACAGTACTGATATCAGTTCCCTGTGGTAATACCCATTTAATGTTTCGGTTTTAGAATATCAGAATTAATACAAAGCTGTCCAAAGAATATTTTGAGGTGCTGACATCATCTCTGAATGGGTCGTATCATTATGTGAAAGCAATAAAGAAGGGTCAGACCATTATTGATGCTGCACTGACATCAGTAGTAGATCAGGTATGTTTTGAGAATAACTATTCTGCTTTACTGGTAGGCCTAAAAATAAATAATTTGTGCAGTTAGTGATGTCATAGCAACATGGTAAAAAGAAACCTAAGAATTACGTGGGACTAACACATCTGTTTAAATAGATTAAGAACCAAATTCTGATATCCTTACTCCAGGAAAACTGTCAATGAAGTCAACAGAGGATTTGCTTAAAAAAAGACTGTGGGATTTTGCTGCTGAGTATGTGGCAAACACCTGTTAAAGCAGTGGTGCACAGCACTGATTTTTTTTTTCATGGCAGATACTTATGTGGGCACATACCGTTTCCTTGTGCTGGTGCAAAGGTCCTCTCACATTCTCTGAGTGAATTATACAGTTGATTGTGCTAGGATCATCAGTCTCATACCCTGGCCTTGTTCTGCATTCAGTTACATTTGGAAAGTTTTCTGTCATTTGGTAAGTGATGTTAAGTGCTGGAATGAAAATCTGCCAAATGTAACAGCCTGTAAATTTCTTCAAATTAATATTCATTAACTTTCTGCTAGTTGGGCAGGCTGCTGAATGTATGGCTAACTAGGGCACGTGGTGTGAAAGTATTTGCTTTTGCTTGGAACTTGGAAAAATTCAACATTTCAACCCATGTGCTGTGAAATCATTTTAGTGATTCCTTGAGTAGGATTTAGTAGATCTTGTATGTGATATGAGCCATGCTTATTCTCTGTGTCAGAGGGCTACTCTTGAATGAAATGAGGTCTACTGAGAGCTGCTAAAGCTTTCCTTCAGACCTCCAGTAAGAAACAGTATGTTGTGCCACAGGGTCATGGCATTACAATTACAGAAAAGTTTAAAAGCAGTGTTTTGGGATGGGTTAAGGAATGGGTCTTTTAGGCTGTTTGTCTTCACCTGCTGCAGAGTGGAATGAGCAACGAGTAAATGCAGGTGTGGAGTTACCAAATCAGTTCTCCACACAAGGTCTCCAAAGCTAAGTGTAGTGAAGTGTATTTCTTTTTGCTGTTTGCCTGTTAAATGAACGCGGACACCTGTATCTCCGTGGCAGTACTGCTCATTTAATACAGTAGCGCACTCCCTGCGATGACCTGTTTGCTCGCAAGTAACACTGGTCGTAACGTCACCCTAAATAGCTTTCCTTTCTCTCTGTTTTCAGCAACTTGCCTATATATATATAAGGAGTAAACATTAATTCTAGGAAGCAGTATGGTGCCATTTCTAATAGGGTGCTGTTCCTTTTTGTAGGATGGAGGTGTTCATACATTACCAGTTCCAGTGCGAAACCAGCAGGATGTCGAAATATATGTTCCCATAGTTCTTTCACCCAGCATTTTGACGTTTCCTTGGCAGCCAAAAGCAGGAGTCTACCAGTACACCATCCAGGTATGCCAAAGAAGTATGTAGGTGCAGGAAGTATTGCTCAAGCAGACGCAGTGAGGCCTGTATATAGAGTTAACTTGGGATACTTCAGGCACAGTGATATCAAAACTTTATTTGGAGGAATTTCGTTGGATGTTAGTTTCAGGAATTGTGTGCTTTTTCATAAAAACTACACATTAAGAAGCCAACGAACATAAAAGCCCCACTGATGTTTACTTGTCTTTTATTCACTTCCTCTCTCCCTCACTCATGCAGCACACACATACTCACAGAGTTGTTTGGAATTATGGAAAACATCCTAGGTAAAAAAACTCCATAGTAGTAACTAGAGACTACCATTTACTGCAAAGGGATGGGAGTATGGGAGCATGACAAGATTGATGAGCAGCACCCTATCAACCTTTGACAGCAGTATCCTTGTCTTGCCATACATCTTTGTTTTTAATAGAAAGTTACAGGGAATCAAAGGCTACAGTTTCATTTACAGTATGCCCTTCTAAAGGGACTGTTTCGTATGTGTGTCTTTGCTCCCATGCTGCCAATCCTTCCATACGCTTCATGAAGCAAAGGGCTTGTCTTCCAGTCTCCCAAGTAGAGTTTAACTGGGGAAAAGAACATTGTGCTTCCCCAGCCCAGACTCTTATCCTGGTGCAGTGATATGCAGATCCTGCACTAAAGCATTTCAGGCACAGTTCCTTCCTCTCCCTTTCAGCATGAAGTAGTGCTGAGTTTTGAGTTATAAAAGAGGCAGTGGGACACATAGTGCCTGAAATAAACAAATCCATCTCATAGAGGTAAAACTGCATTCTCTACTGTACATCTCAAGTTAACGCCATGGGAGTTTAGTGCTGTTATCTGTACTTTTAATTTCTGTGGGATTAGAGTTTGCTTCAGTTCATGCTGTACCCGACCACACCAGCAGTGTGTGGTAAAAATTATTAGTACAGATATGCATTTTCAGTAATTCATCATAACTTCTGCTAGAGTTTTCCCAGAAAGGGAAAGTAAATGTATTCTCTGCTTCCTACCTCTTTTACAGTTCTATTATTGTCTCTCCTTATCTTGCATATATCATCAAATATCTCACTAGACAACATTCCTTTGTGTTACGCCAGTAATTGAATCAGCATTCTTGCTTTACTGTGGATTCCCCCCGCCCCCCATTAAAAACATAAAACCTTTTTTCTCCCAACATTTAAATTAGTTTGCATTTACTGAAACTGAGAACATTTTCCCAGTCTGGCCATTCAGCAGTACTAGTGGTTGTTTACAATAGTACACAGCTTGACTGTTGTTCCTGCATGTAGATTAGTGTTTGCCTCCTACTCGATAGTTTGAGTCAGGCATTGAATTGGTGAATAGACTTTTTCTGAAAACAAGTTGAAAGAGATTTTTGGATTTAGCCAAATTCTGTTTATAGCTAAAGAAACTCCTTCCAGATGGTATCAGAATGACTTTTAGGTTTTACTTTGTCAGCTCTCTGGTGTTTTTGTTGGTTGCTTTGCTCATATTTGTGCTAATAAGATGTCTCCTGTTGTAAATAAAAAAGGGGTGGGGGAAGACATTTCTGCCCTTCCTGGCATCACTGTTCTGCTCGTTTCCCTGTTTTAACTGAAAATAACTTTAGAAAACATTCTGAACTTTTACAGTCTTTAAATGTTTCTCTCCACATCCCATGCATCTCCTATCACACCCTATTACTTATTTATCCATTTGTCTGTGTCTGGTGCTCTTTTTATAATCAGGTGGTTGTGCACGTGCTCATGGGAAGGAAAATGAGAAATTACTGTCCTTTTGATTTTCTTTTTGACCTGGTAAAAGTTATTAGCTAAGATGCTTCATAATTTAGATTTATTTTCCGCACTGTCCTGCTAGGCAAAATTTATCACCTTGTCCATTTGTAGTTTAATCATGAAACGGATTAGAGCAAGTCCTGAGAAAGTTAAAGAAGTTAAAACAATAGACATGAACAAAGAAATTGCTCCGATGGTTGCCTGTGTTTTACTCTGACGGAACCTTGGCGTTTATTTTGGAGTGTGGAAGTGCCTTCTTTTTTTTTTAATTTGCTTTAAAAATGCATTATTTTCACTATACCTTTCTGCACAGTATTTGTCTCAACAGATACTTCCTGTAGCTCACAGGAATTATGTTTAAAACCTGTACATTTTACAGCACTGTAATGATTATGTTTCTTCAGTAGCTAGTATTACACTTCTAGGAAGGCAGCTCTGCACTTGTGCTGGCAGAATGTTCTTTTTGGCCCTTCATTGTATAAAATAGGAACCTGCAGCAATATAACCTTGTCCTGGCTGCGAAGCGCGCATAGAGTATGTATAATTATTTGGCTCTGTTGATGTGGACCATAATATCAAGCATCTACTTGCTACCCTTCTGCAGAATAATTCCGCTCACTTTAAGCTGTTCTAATTGTGAAATAACCCTTCAAGAGCTGTGAGCTATAGCAAAAGGGTGGGTTTTTCTTTTTTGTTGGTTTGGGTTTTTTATAGCTTGTAAGTTTGGCAGTTACCAACTCCTTCCTTGAAAAGCCGTAGCCTGTACACCGCAGTGCTCTGCGCAGTGCTTGTGGCAAGAGGGGGCAGTTTCCATTTGTGCTTGTAGCTGATCAGTTGCTGGAGCAGCACATTGAATAGCTGCAGGTAGACATGCTGATTTTCAGCATAAAAATAAAGAAGTAATGCCAAGAAGAGAGTGACTTCTTTTTCTTCTTTTCCCCTCTTGCTTGATTCCCTCCCTTCCTCCCACCTTCTTATTTTCTTCCCTTCAGATCCCTTAATAATGCCCATTGAAAGAAGCTTGTAGGTACAGAATGTCAGGTTAACAGCTCTGAGACCCAAAATCAGCATTTTGGCTGTCAGCAACAGAGAAACAGTGGGAGTGTTCAGGAGTACAGTAATCCCCCGTGCCAGGCCTCTGGAGTGCTGATTCGTGAAATCCTCTGCTGACTCTAAGCACTATCCATCACCGGGAGTTGTGAGCATCAGTCTTCTGCAGCTGGGGGAGAGAGATTTGGGTTAGCAGCACTGGTGAGCACGTAGGCTATGTGCATGAAGAAACCTGAAAGTAAAAGGAATGAAGGGTGGTAATCTTCTTATCTCTACTTGACTTTATCTCAAAGTTCTGAGGTATTATTTTGTTTGTACTTCTTCAATAATAGCATTGTGGGTGCTCAGTGTGTCCTTGGTTTTCATGGAAGATATTAAAAGGTGTGACACCCAAGAAACGTTAGTACCATAGAGTTTATAAAATATTTGAAAGACTTTTTCTCTGTATTCTAGGCTCACGGTGGAAGTGGAAATTTCAGCTGGTCCTCTTCTAACCAGGCAGTTGCTACAGTGACAGTCAAAGGAGTAATGACAACTGGAAGTGATATTGGTGTCAGTGTTATTCAGGCAACTGATGTTCAGAATCCATTGCATTATGGAGAAATGAAGGTGAAGCTCTTTATTTTCCCTGATCGTTCTTGAATGTGGCTTCTGGAAACAGTGAAGAAGCTGAGAATGCCATAGGCATTTCCCTTTCCAGAATGTTCCTGAGATATTTCCCTGCCTCCTCTGTGGCAGGTTAAATGATCAGGTTCAGAGTCTGTGTTTCTGGGGATTTAAACTCTCTCCACTACATTAGCTTTGGTCCCATTTTTTTCCTCTCCCTAATTTCCTTGGTAACTCTTTTTCCTTCTTGAAAGTTTTGAATGCAGGAAGAAGGTAGTCATTTACTATTGGCCTAGTCATCTAAGTAGCCAAACCAAACTAAAAATGCTTCTGCCAGGTAAAAGGTGGGTATTTTTCCTCAATATAAACCGATGACAGATACCATCAAGATGTGCAAGGAAATTCCTGCTTGGAGAAGTGGCAGAAATGCTATACAGTGCCACATAATAAATCTGCATACCAAAGCTGGCCAAGAAAGAAATAATCTTTTTGGAAAAATAGGAGAAAATGGGAATTAAGAATACACCTCCCAGAAGGGATTTTGTGGTCTCTGTGAAAATCATATCGTATTCTTAGGATTTAGTCGAGGTGATCAGTGTGTGATATGGGGTGAAGAAAATACAGAAATGCTATACAGTGCCACATAATAAATCTGCATACCAAAGCTGGCCAAGAAAGAAATAATCTTTTTGGAAAAATAGGAGAAAATGGGAATTAAGAATACACCTCCCAGAAGGGATTTTGTGGTCTCTGTGAAAATCATATCGTATTCTTAGGATTTAGTCGAGGTGATCAGTGTGTGATATGGGGTGAAGAAAATACAGAAACAGTATATAAGAGTGTGCCAAGATAGGTGAAGAAGCTGCTCTGGTTAACAGTGGTCAACACTGTGAAGCTACAATCTGAAATAATTCTCTCTAGAACATTACTGATTTGGAAATACCTCCTTGTGCCCTTTGGATCCAAATAGTTTTCCTTAATGAAACTGTGTCAGTGCTTACTCTCTCTGTCAAACTTAAGAACTACAGACCTGTAACATGATAGAATAGAAACTAAAAGTACTACGGTGTACTTTTACTAAAGAACACTTTTTTACTGAAGTACTAAAACTACTGTGGTGCACGTTTGCTACTGTGAAGTAATGCTGCTCTGCTGCCTTCAGAAATTCAGGCATTTGAATATATGCTTTAGCTCTGTGCTTTTTGCAAAGAGCTAAGCATTAGCATGGGAACCTGACAGAGAGGAAATTTGCTTCTGACATCAGAAAAACTAAGAGATAGTGTACTGAGCACGTGTGACTAATCTGAGATCCAGAGGCTGTGTTTATCTAACTGCACGGTCATAAATGAAATGGGTTTGTTTATGCTGAGAGGATACTATTGAGGCTGGCAAACAATCTCCATCTGGCTAAGGCTTTATGAAGGACAGGGTTTTGTTTCTGAGGGAGCGTAGAAGTTGATTTAGGAAGCAGGTCTCGCAAGCCCTGGGGCAGTGCGCCTGCCTTCCAGGATACCTGCATGTAATTGAGCAGCTGGTGGGGAAGAAGCCGATTGTGTCCAATACACATACACTAGCTATACAAAATACCTCATCGTTTTTAGGTATCCCCATGTGCAGCAGTGCTGTAATTGTTGTGCTGCAGTTCTGTTACACCAAAGTCCCCTCTGACACAAGTGTTAAAAAATGTGTTTCGTCTGGGCTGCTAAGTCTGTCCCATAATGAAGAGAGAGCTCTGTATGCAGGTGTTTTGCCACTTTCGCTCTTTTTTTAAAGTATGTGTGTTTTGGGAAAGATCTTTCTAAACTGATTTTTACTTGAAACAGCTGTATCTACTAATGCTGGGTTTTTTGAGGGGCAAGTTAATTTGGTTTTTGTGCTGAGATCATTTATTTCAGTTCTACAAACTGGATTTGAGAGGTACTAAACTTCATGCTTAAAATAACGACGTAAATGCTTACAGTAACACAAATTAAAATGTGTGCAGAATTTAGTTTACAGACGTGCTCTGAAATTATTCTCTGGACAACCCAGGATGCTGCTTTATAGCAGTGTCATAGTTACCAGGAGGAGATAGAAGAATGAAGAATTTTCAGTTAAAACTTCTCATCCACAAACATAAGTCAAAGCCTGGAGACAGAAAAAATACTGCTGTCCATGTGAGCTTTCAAAGCAGTGTATTGCACAGTCTGAATAGGTTATTTTTGAATGTCTTTGTTCTTAAGTTAGGAGTTGTATGCTTTGCAGAGTAAATCTGAAGAGTTCTATTTGCTGACCTCAGTGAGCAGGTTTTAAGAATACTTAGCCATGTTCCACAAGGATTACAGTTTTAACTCTGTACCATATGGTTCTATGTGTTGCCCTGAAGCCATTTGCAGATGGTTAGCAAGTTAAAATACTGCAAATGAAAAGTTTTCATCATAGCGATTGTTACGGAATACACGATCAGTCTGTGGTGGATCCTTTAATAGAAAAAATAGCAAATCAGAGTCGAAGTTAAGGCTTATTCATCAACATACCAGCTATAATAGCATGGAAGATGTATTTCTGCCAGTCTTACTTTTGAAAGTAATCCTTTTGATTTCAGAAGTATCTCGCACATACAGTTCAGTTGTTGAAGCAGAAGGTTGTTAGGTTAGTGGATATTTGTTTGCTTCTTTAGATATCTGGCATATTACTGTGGGGAAATGTTGAGCCCTGGACATCTTGGTCTAGCTCAGATATTTACACTGTGAAAGTCAAGGTTGGATACTAAATCTGACCCAGTTGCTGGTAGTACCTCTTGGAGATACTGTGCAACTTAGTCCACACTTCAAAATCAGCAAAGCAGAAGTGGCATTAAAATGATCACCAAACTAATGCGCACATGGACTGTTGTGGGGAAGGAGTACTACAATAGTAGCAAGCTTTTCCTGGCCCTTTCCGACACCTTTCTGCAGCACATAAGCACAAAAGCAATGTTCAGTCTGAGAAGAATTGTTCCCAGCCATCAGGGGGAAGTCAGCAGCTAGGAGAGGTATACGAGGGGTCTCATTAAAATGAGAGCATACTGAAGTATCTTTTTCTCTTTGTTTCTGGTACTGTTTTGGGGACTCTGTGTTCATACATCTGTCCTGTTTCTTTCCTCCTTCAGGTGTATGTAACTGAACCTAGTGGGATGGAGTTCACACCATGTCAAGTTGAAGCACGTGTTGGCCAAATATTGGAGCTGCCCCTGAGGATTAATGGCCTCACAAATGTTGAAATGGGCGAGATGGTCCCACTGAGCGACTGCTCACACTTTGATCTAGTTGTGGAAGTAGAAAACCGTGGTGTGTTCAGGCCACTTCAAGGTGATTTGACGCCCTCCCCATTTTGAAAATTAAATTAAGATGTTACTAAGTCACACATCTCCTTCAAATCACTGTTTTAATTGCTGTGTACAGGGGTGGGCATCAGAGTAGTTTTATTTTGAGGCTGTGTTTATTTGTTACACAGAACTTTCCTTTGATATTTTTGATGTTTTGAGGGACTCTGAAAGCATTTTGGCAATTATTTTATTAGATGGTGTGTAGTGTCCCATATGTCTTTTTGCTGATGTAGTATTTTTAATGTGCTTCTGTAACAGAACTGATGGGTTTTCTCATAAGAGGGGTCCACATGCATTGTGTTTTGAGATAGCATTGGAAGACTTCCAAGACCAATAAGAATAATAACTGCTTTCCCTGCATTGTCTGTTAGTACTTTCAGTTATTTAAAGACACTGTTCATTGTTTGCTCACAAGGAACTAAGACAATCAGATGCTTAAATTTTTACAAAGCTCTGGTACTGTTTAGCTCATTGCTTTAAGCAATGCCTCTTGTCAGGTGTATTAGGAGTATGGAGTATGCATGTTATTTTCAAAGATTGCCATTAATGTTGCTGGACTAAGTGGACACTGAGTGATGTGCTTGTTTCTGTGTCTGCTGAATTCACACTATGTTTTTCAGATGTACCATTAATTTTTTCCAAGTGTCTCTTGTATGGAAGCTCTTTCATGTGCTATTTAGTCAGTAAAACCAGTCCACATTGTACCATCTGTTTGCCTGAGAGGCAGCTATTTAAATGTCACTATGTAGTATACTGTTGGACTGTTTGTTTCAAAAAAAAAAAAAAAAGACCCCTGTCAAACCGCAAAATGTCCTCTAAATAAGCAAGGAAATTTCATGAAAATACCTTACCTTCAGCTACAGAAATGACATTTGCTTACAGTTCAGGTGGTTCTGTGCAGGAAAGCTTGTCCGAGCAGTGTGACTGACGTGCTTAATTACAAGCCAGTTTCATTTTTAGAGCAGCAAGATGAAAATATTCTGTAAGAGATAGAGGTTACATTAGTTTGTACCAGAGTAAAGTTTCGTGTCATGTTTAGGACAGTGTGAAAAGCAAGAAGTTTGAGAGACATGGATGCTTTGGTAAGTGTTGGGTTTGAGATGAAAGACAGTAGTGAACATTTTTACACATTTGGTTGGAGAACACATCTCTACTTACTTCTGGTGGAGGTGTTTTTGTTGAGAAAAGCCATATCGAACTTGCATTAAAATGCATGGGCATTTCTCTCGAAAAATGTATTTATTTCATTTTAATTTGTCTGACAGGAAGGCTTAAGCCAACTGCTGATTTTTGCAGTGGAGTCAGAGTGAAAGCTGAAACTCAAGGATACACAACCCTTGCTGTTAGTTACACCCACGGTCATGTCCACCTCAGTGCTAGCATCACCATTGCTGCTTACCTACCATTAAAAGTAAGTCTGTTTTCAATGTTCCTAAAGCAATCCGTCACTTTAAAATGCCTTTAGATGACAAATAACAAGTTGATGTTATATAATAAATGTGTTTTAAAAAATAAGGTGGGTAGTTGATTCACAGGAAAAAAATTGTGTGGACTGTTTTGGTGAATCATGTTTTAACTGTTCCTCTATGGAGCATATATGTAGTAGAGTTTGCTTACACAGACATCACAAGCCTATTATAGAGGAGTGAATAGTGTGATAGTGAATCAATGTAGTATTTCTTCTGGAGATTGGAAGAAAAACTTTTGTGTAGGAGAATAATTGCATGCACAGAGCTGTGCTGGAGAGAGCACTGTCAAGTGAAAGGATTTTTAAAGAGTAAGATTTCATTCATTTAAAGTACTACCTATTTAAAAAATGTGATAGAATACTTTCTAAAGATGCTCAGAAAAGTATATTCAATGTCTTTCTCTTGCTCTAATTCTTCATGTAATTAGAATGTAGTTAAAACTTTTCTTTGAATCCATGGGTTAGGGTGAATATAATCATACAGGACAGAATTCTGGTAGGTGATGCTAATTATTTTGCTACAACTCTGTTCTAAATAACCATGCCTACAAACTACTCTGTGGAAAAAATCATGGCCTAATCAAAATAATAAATATAGCTCTTCCATTAAGACAGAACTTTTCTTCTGTAAAGTACAACTGAAACGTATGTAAATAGAACTGTTAATTTGTCATTCATTACAGACTATTGATCCTCCATCTGTTGCTTTAGTCACTTTGGGTTCCTCTAAAGACATGTTATTTGAAGGAGGACCTAGGCCATGGGTACAAGAACCTTCAAAGTTCTTCAGAAACATCACTGCTGAGGATGCAGAGAGTATTGGTCTGTCTTTATTTGGACCTCCTACATCACGAAATAACATCCAGCATTGGGTCAGAGTATCTTGCAAAAGCTTGGGAGAACAGGTAAGTGCTAGAAGGTATTTGTGTTGTCCTTCACCAGACACTGAGCTAAGGCAATTGAGAACAGTCTTCAGACATTTATGAATACCATGTAGCTTTTCTATAACAAGCAGCATTTATAATAAGCCAGTAAAGAACTTGGATAAGTACATAGTTTATGCATTGCAGTGCTGGTACAGGTTTTAGAGTGAGCATTTCGTAACATTGTGTTATAAAGTGGTTTATTGCATTATGAAGCCAAGTCACAGAAACCTTATGTTACAGAATGTGTTAAACAGATCTTAGTAAGTGCAGCTTCAGTTTGTATAAATAGGGTCAGAGCAGAAGGTTACTGCAGTAAACAGTCTGTTTGACCTGCTCCTCTTAACCAAGCTACCCTCCAGTGTGATGCTGTTTATTCAAACAAATGACAACCACATGAATATACTGCTCTGATATTTGTGCAGTCTTTGCAATAGTGGCTGAAGCCATTTTCTACCTGGCCTTGTTTTCTCCAACATGCAGGGATGATTTATTCTCCTTTACTCACCATGGCCAGTTTATAAAGCATTTAGCTTTGATTTAATGTTTTTCCCCTGTAATTCTGGAAGGCCTAAGCATCTTGGTTTGGGTGACAAATTGTTTAACACGTTCCCTCAGTGGACACTGTACAAAGTGTAGTTATTTCTGTCAGTGCAAATTCGGAAAGGAACAAACACTTTTTTGTTGTCTGTGGTTGTGCATGCGTTGGCTGGCTGTCCTCAGCCTTGTCCAGAGCAGATTGCATCTGCATGAGTGGATCAGGCAGGTAACCAGAGCTACCTCTGCCAGCTGGGATAGCCTCTCTGTATTTATATCTACTTTGTTTTGTTGAAGGAGGGCTAAAGAAGGAATGTAAAATTAAACATAAGGTGTTTCTAAACACACTGAGGTAGCTACAAGTACTGTTGTATTCTCACTCTGCAACAAAAACATCTGCCTGTTAGCTTTTTAAGTTACAAAAGATTTGTTGCTTGAGTCAAGTTTGATAGTAATAACCATGAATACCTAGGAAAGGTTCCCAGGTAATGGTATAGAACTGTTCTTGAAATATACACTTCCGTTTACATCTTCCTGTGACTTAATGATACAGTAAATCCCCAAGAATCATATTTTTGCTTGTTCATTCTGATATCGGAGTGTAATTCAGATGTGTGAAATAGAGTATGCCTGATCTCAGTAGTCCTTTTCTCTCTCCTCACTTGCTCGTTTCCATAATTGTACAGATTATTGCCTTGACAGTTGGAAACCACCCCACGATCACCAACCCTTTTCCAGCGGTTGAGCCTGCTGTTGTGAAGTTCATCTGTGCTGTCCCTTCACGACTCAATTTGACTCCTGTCTATGGAAGTCCTCAGCTTGATCTCTCCTGCCCTTTGCTGCAGCAAAACAAGCAAGTGGTAAGCCTTAGGAATGCAGGAAAAGGATGTCGTCTTATAATTTACAAATCAGTGTTTGCACTTCCATGTACAAAATAAAGCATCTGACTTACTGCAAGAGTAGCAATAACCAGTGTTATGGGGCACACTGGTATTGTTTTCTGCCTCAGCAGAGAGCACTCTGAATGTCAGTTCCCTATAGTGATCATTCGAACAGGTTTATACAGGGGATTACCAGAAAAAAGGACTATATGTAAAAACATTGGATTGTGGCTTCTCACAAAAGTGTCACTGTGAGGAAAACTTTCTGACTTGTTTTGTGATAAACTTCTTTTTTTATTAGAAAAAAATTGAAAAGAAGGAATGGGGAAATGTTTCCAGCAGCTGTTCCTAAGGAAAGTATTTTTTCCCTATGCGACTTCGTTCTAATCTAACTATTCCATTGAGTATAGAGAGACATATTTTCCCATACTCTCATTATCCCATGAGTGTACATTTGTGTGTCATATCAGTAAAGGCACAAACACTGCAGCTGTGAAGATAGCCCTTTAAGCATAAGCAGTGAGTATTGCTCAGTGAAATCAGATGTATTCAGCTTTGCAGATTGGAGTCGCAATAAATGGACAGTGCGTATGTGTAGGTTATCAAGCATAAAGGACTCTTGCTTTCTTCCTAATGAGTGCCATCACATGTTGTCTGCTGAGTAAACTCAGAGTTTTGTCCTGCTAATATTACCACGCAAATATAAAAGTCATCCTACTTTCATAAAACTGCAATATGTATTGAGTTGATGAATCATTTTAAGTAACTTCTATGTAACAACAAGATGAGAAGGAGATGGGTTTGTACTGTAAGTCACTTCAGAGTTCACCTGTTTCTCTAAGTCCACTATGTGCCAGTTAGACTACCCCAACACACTGCTGTTGCTAATGCATTTCACAAGGTGAACACTACAGTTTTGAGCTATGTCTTCTGACAAATAGCAGTACTTTTCAGTATTTGTTTGAATTCCAAAGATGATGTGGTTGTGTGATTCAATTTTTGTTTTAAGGTAAAAAAAGAAAAGAAAACAAAACAAACCCCAACACCCTCACACCCAAAAAAACCCTTGCAGTTGAAGTACAGCTTAATGACTTTGCGTTGATCACTCATTTTAATAAACATTACTGATGTAATGAGTGTTACAATAAATCTCATGAAACTCTGCATACTTTTTTCTTTCTTTTAATGATTAAAAAAATCCTCTTGTATCTGTTCAGCTCAAAGTATTAATTCTTTTTCAGGTTCCTGTTTCAAATTATCGCAATCCAGTATTGGATTTGGCTGCCTATGACCAACAGGGCAGTAAATTTGATAACTTCAGTTCTCTTAGTGTTATCTGGGAGTCAACAAAAGTGTTCTTAGCTAATACTGAGCCTGATATGCCAATGGAGCTGACTCTGAAAGAAGATGGAAATGGTCAAAAGAAAATGCATGGTATGAATTAGTTTACGTGAGCATTTCGTTATTTGAAGAAGGTCAGGGTTGAATTATTTGGTAGTGTCTGGGCTTGATTACAGAAATACTCTAAGCTGCAGTCATATTTCAGCTTATCCTCAACATGCAATTTTAAGTGTGCACTATTAAAAAAAAAAAAACAACCCACAAACTCAATGCCTACAACCTGTCTTGAGAGAGAAAATCCTTGTCTGTTTAGAATGATAATGACTTTCATCTTTTTCTTCGCCATAATCAGATTTATTTGACTTTTTGTTTGATTCCAGGCTTACAAACTGTTCTAGTTCATCATGAGTCTGGAACAACTGCCATCTCTGCAACTGCAGCAGGATACCAGCAATCCCATCTCAAGGCAGCTAAAGTGAAAATACCGGTACTCACATCTCCATTTTTTTGTTGCCGTTTTCCTATGATCCTTAATGTACAGCATTCTTACATATTTATTTCTTCAGTGCACAATGATGTAAAAATAAGGGAGCTCCACAGCTGATTCTGAAGACAGATTCATGCCACCCTGCTTTTATAATGTTCATGGCTTTCCTCTGCACTACATGCTGCTACCCGTATCAAATATATCCAATTCCTTTTTTTTCCTTAAACCATCTGGGCAAGGGGATTACAAAGAATTGTTTCAGTGGTTTTGTTTCTGTTTAGGTTTTTTAATGAATTGGTGAATCTCTGCTGCTTGTCCTTCACTAAAGCAACCATGTGCTTAGTGCAGCTGTCACTGGGGAAAGCAAATGTATTATTTCCACTGCAGAACTGGATAGAAAGGTTCTGTGTGAGCAAAGCAAAACTGGCTGATATCCTCATGGACCATGTGTAAAATCTGGGCTCTGACTAGTGCTCTTTCTTTGGTCTCACATCTGTCTTACAGAAGGGAGGGACTACTCATTTGTACACTGCCAGCCATAAGCCTAGGCTCTAATTTTGCAAGTCATTAACCACTCCCTGCAATGGTTTAGTTTTGTAGATACTCAACATAGGGAAGAACAACAGCAAAAAGTAGTCATGATGAACAAAGAAGGCAGATGTAAACAGATGGCAATTTTCTGTCACTGTGATTTTTTTTTAACTGAACACAGAGGCAGGTTTCAGCCTATGGAACGACCTGACATGCATAGAAACTAACTCTTAAGATATCCTGCTTTGCTAAATTGAAGTTCTGCTAAATTTTGTTAAGCAAGGTTTAAGTTGGTTTTGACTATATGCGGTTCTGAATCATGCACCATGAAAATACAGTTGAAACAAAATATGGAGCTAGAGTATTTTTAATTCAGAGCAGGTAACAGATGGGCTCTATTCATGTGAAATATTCTATGGCACAGTTACATTGCCGTTTAAGATACTTGGTTCTGTATCTTATTTCTCTTAAGAAAATTGAATTGTAAAAACAACACTGGATGTTCTGCAGTCATTGTGCAGTTCAGTGTGCTCTGCTTTATTAAACTAATATTCAATAACCTTATATTTAGAGATAATTAGAAAACTAATTCTCTGAACTTTGCCTTGAGTTCAGAGAAGCTTACTGTATTTCGGTGTGGGATGCATACGTATAAAATGACACCAGGTTTCTCTGAAGTTCTAATCTCTGTTGAAGTTTGTGAGGAATCTTTTTGGTAGTTGAAGAGTAGTTGTAGATACCACTTCTGCAACAGTTACATAGGCTTGTATGTTGTTTCTTTAAATTAGGTAATTTGTCTGCTTTTTTCAAATACGTCAGAAATGCAGTGCTCTATTCTGCTTTCAAACCTGTCTATACTTGCAGTTCTTTCTTACAGACAGAAACACAAATGAAAATCTAATAGATGGTATATTGAGTTGTCTTGGTCGTTGTTTCGTGTTTAAGTCGAGCATCTGGAAAGATGACATCCTTTCTACATCAAGGAAATAATTCTACTAATTAGGTGAAATGGGTACATAATACTAACTTCCTTTAAAAAACATTTTCCCATTCTAAGCTAATGTTATTATATGGGAATGATTAAATTTGCATTTGGCCCAGTGTTTATGTACTCACATTTAAGGAAGAACTTTTTTTGGTGGCCTGCTAGGAAAAATCCTAAAAAGATGAGCTTGTAGTAGAAGAAAACATTCTGACTCTATGCTTTTTATCTTTCTGTATGAACTTATGTCTCTGAGTTCATGTCCTATCTGTATATCAGATTTGGTTAACTGATCCTGCTACATCTTCAGTATGTAGGCCTTTGTTCTTTGCCTCGCTCAGAGATGCAGAATACAGACCTTAACTGTAGAAGAGAGCTGGCAGCTGAGCCAGTTACTAGATCTTGTGGTCAGTCTATTATGCTAAACTTCTCCAGCTCTGGCTCTTTTTTCATCTGTTTTAAGCATCCTTCCCTGCATATATGACAGACTTTGACTGTTGTCTGTGTGTTTGCTATAACAGCTAGAGCTGTTTCTTTCAGCATGAACCCCTTCTACCAGTGTCTGCCACTATTGAACTGATACTAGTGGAAGATGTAAAAGTGAACCCTACTGTTGTTTCCATTTACAATCACCCTGACGTACAGGTAAGGAATTCTTCTGCTACTTTATACCTGAAGGCAAGAAAATATCAATCGTATGATATGTGTAAGGATACCAGTTTTAGCAGTGTACTGGAAAGATAGAAACTAATTTTGGATGCTTGTCTCATTTTGCAGGCAGAACTTTTCATCAGAGAAGGTTCTGGATATTTTTTCATTAATACCAGTATTGCAAATGTTGTAAGAGTGACTCATGAGGAAACTCAAGGTATTGCCTTGGTGAGTTAAGTATTTTCTAAGTTTATATCTTTTTGGTGATCTGAATATCATTCTATAGTTTCCTCACTATTGGTCGTTTTCCAATGCACATGGATAGAGAGACAATAACTGTATCTCAGATGTGTTTGCCTGTCACAGCCAAGCTTCAGGCAGGAGATCTTTGCACTAGCAAGTTCAGGTATAGTTTCAGGTGTAAAAAACTGTTTCACTACAGTTGTGGTGCAGATGTATACTCTGTGCAAAGTGAAAGCCAGTGCCACGTTCTTTACCTAGTACAGTTTTGCAGTAAAATGTTCCTGATTTCATAAACACAAAATGAAAAATGATGTGACAGAAGTTTTTCATGCACTTTGACACTAGAACATGCAACTAAACTACGGTTAAGCTTGACTTCATCCAGGCCTGGATATCAGATGCATTCTACAGTGAGTGACAATAAAACTATGTTTTTGCATTGTGACTTTTATTAGACAAGAATGAGAAATGACACAACATGCTTTAAAGACTAGTCTTTACAAATTTATATTTACCAATTTATCTGGTAATAAATAATGTTGATAAAGTTGTGAAATAATGATGATAAAGGTGGATTTTTCTCATTGTTGAGAGTATGGGAAGTATTGGTGAAATATTTTGATTGTCTCTAACTTCTGAAAGTGTAAGGTGGGAATATTTTTCCAACCAAGTCATTTTGGCATGGAGGTAGAGAAAAAAATAGAAGAGATGACCTTATTTTTGTACATTGCAGACTGCTTCAACTCTTCATAGTTTTTCAGTCAGCTCTCCCTCATGGGTTTAGCAGGGCTTTAACTGATGTACACAAGATAATTTCAGAATAGAGTAGTGAATTTAAGTAGTGGAATAGTGCCAGCAAGATGGGCTTTGTGAAGTACAAGAAGAGATTTGTTTTAACTAGCTGTCAAATTAAAGGAGAGAAAACTCCACCTTTTAACACATTTAAAAACCATTTTGGAAAAAAGAACCCCAAAACAACCAAACCACATTTTAAAGTTTTAGTTTTGCATGCTACGTTTGAGTTAAATGCCAGTGTCATCTATGGATTTTTCTTTATGGAAGCCAGCAGAATGGTCTGTGTAGAAAACCAGCAACTTCCAGTCTGATGTGCCAAGCTGATGCCATGACAGGTGTCAGTGGAGCCAAGTTGATACGGGACGGTTTGCTAATAAACTCTTCTGAGAAACTAACTTCAATTTATCTAGAGCAGTGATTCTTAGACTTTTGCTGGGGCTGCCAAGGATGAGTTCTATACCTCTTACTGTCTTTTGGACACAGCAGCTTTTCTGGATACGGTGATAGCATGGGGGAAGAATGAATAGTAGTAAACAGAGAAATGCAGTGTGTACTAGGGAGCCACTGCACATCTAATAGGAGATTAGAACAGAAGAGGTAGCTGGGACAGGAACAGTCTCCTTAAATTGTAGTAGCCCTGCTTTTTTTTTCAGCCCTCTGCTCTCATAGCTTCTTTACTCTGGTGTCCCAGCTCCATGACATCTTCCTCCCTGTCATCATGCTGGCTGCCTCCTCCTGGCCTCATCCCCTTCTCTGCTTTCCATGGCTTTGCATTAATGTGTGCCCCCAGCGCCTGTATTAGCCACCCACTTTGGGAACTGCTGCTGTTCTGAAAGCTGACATTTATCAAAATTTTATATTCCCTTTTATTTTGAGGCAAAAGTGAGAGTGCTGCCCTCAAAGAACAAAATGTCAGCTCTTCCCACTGCTCTCAGTGCTAACTCCTGTAGTGCTGCCAAGTAATACTATGAATTATATTAAAGTCCTTTGAACTGGGGGCCTGGCTGTCCATCACCCCTTGTTTCAGAGTTCATAAGCCAGGTGAGTGCATAAAATAGGACACGAAACATCTGTGCTCTCTCTGGCCAAAGTGAAGGTGAAGAGAATAGTCGGTGTGTGGCAAGGTCAGGTCAAGTGCAAGAAAACTCCCCTGATGATGTGGGCCAGGGGGCGTGCATGAGACTGTGGAGATGGGGAGGTTGAGGTGAGTGGGGGAGGTTTAGCCTGGAGAAAAGGAGGCTTAGGGGAGACCCTATTGTGGTCTACAACTCCCTAACAGGAGGGTGCAGAGAGGTGGAGGTTGGTCTCTTCTCCCAAGTGACAAATGACAGGGCACGAGGAAATGACCTCAAGTTGTCCCAAGAGAGGTTTAGATTGGATATTGGGGAAAATTTCTTCATGGAAAGGGCTGTCAAGTATTGGAATGGGTTGCCCAGGGAAGTGGTGGAGTCACCATCCCTGGAGGGATGCTTAGAGTCATGGTTTAGTGGTGGTCTTGGCAGTGTTCAGTTAATGGTTGGACTCAATCATCATAAAGGTCCTTTCCAACCTAAAAGATTTTATGATTCTACAAGATGATTTGGGGATTAGTGCCTAGTTCTGAGGGCTCATATTTGTGAGCAGGAATCTTTCTTAATTGTTTGAGTCTCGCTGTATTCTGAGAAGTGTAAGATGTATGTTCTTTGTATAAAAAATTAATAATAATAGTTGTATCAAAGAAATACCTGTTCTGTGAATTGGTTCTGGAGCACAAGTCCTGTGAGGAGTGGCTGAGGGATCTCGGGGTGTTCAGCCTGGAGGAGGCTGAGGGGAGACCTGATCGCTCCCTATCACTCCCTAACAGGAGGGTGCAGAGAGGTGGAGGTTGGTCTCTTCTCCCAAGTGACAAATGACAGGGCACGAGGAAATGACCTCAAGTTGTCCCAAGAGAGGTTTAGATTGGATATTGGGGAAAATTTCTTCATGGAAAGGGCTGTCAAGTATTGGAATGGGTTGCCCAGGGAAGTGGTGGAGTCACCATCCCTGTAGGGATGCTTAGAGTCATGGTTTAGTGGTGGTCTTGGCAGTGTTCAGTTAATGGTTGGACTCAATCATCATAAAGGTCCTTTCCAACCTAAAAGATTTTATGATTCTACAAGATGATTTGGGGATTAGTGCCTAGTTCTGAGGGCTCATATTTGTGAGCAGGAATCTTTCTTAATTGTTTGAGTCTCGCTGTATTCTGAGAAGTGTAAGATGTATGTTCTTTGTATAAAAAATTAATAATAATAGTTGTATCAAAGAAATACCTGTTCTGTGAATTATCCTCTTACTTGCGAAGATCTACGACCAGATTTTGGCTATTCATTCAGATCAAAAGCAGTAACTGTAAAGTATTAATCTTGTAGGAAACAATGCTAATGCTTTATAAGCATAGTCTCGGTCCTTGAATATATATTTTTTTACCCCCTTATCATTTTGGTTTTCACTCTACTAAGAAAGTTTTCATTGCTCTGAATGATTTGTTTTGGGGTTTTTGTCCTTCTGATGGCTGAAGGAGAATAACAGGATGGCAGACTGCCTCTAGATTAAGATACATTAACTCAGTTGCTGCTCAGAGGCCATTTGCACTAGGTCAATAATATGATACTTTTACATACCATTTCCAGCTTTACTTTTGCTTTGGCAGACGAATTATCTGTGTCTAAGGCTTGGAGACTTCTGCATCCAACTGCGTCTGCCCTGAAAGTGTTGTCAGTGTTATCCTGTGAATGACAGACAAATGAAAATAAGAAGGGCTATAACAGGATTTGCTTTTGGCATTGCAGGTGCATCCTCTGCTTCCAGGATCAGTGACCGTAATGATTCATGACTTGTGTTTGGCTTTCCCTGCACCAGCTAAAGCTGAAATTTATGTATCTGATATACAGGAACTGTACGTCCGAGTTGTTGACAAGGTTAGTGACTTTGAAACCAGCATTATTAGCTGATCCAGATTGCCCCAATTCCTTGTGCTGATCATGAAGACAGGGATGAGACACGTACAAGATGATAGGATGTAATGGTTAGGGCCCTCTGCTGCATCTGTGTGACCTTAGAGAAAGAGTTTGATCTCCCAGTGTTTGTTTCTCCCTCCCAAATTTTATTCTTTTAGGTTGTAAGTCGTTCAAGAGCCTCAAGTGTCTCTTACTTCATGTTCTGTGTGGCAGCAATCTCAACTTTTGCATTTACACAGCAGTGTTAATTCATAATTTATGTCAACACGCTAATTTACATTTCCTTTTGTTTAAAGAGAATGAGAGCAGTTCTTTTAAGAGTAGGTTTTGCCCCAAGGTAATTTTTCCATATATCATGTTTTTAAAATTAAAAAAAAAAAAAAAAAAAATCCAACTCATTTTACTTGCCAGTTTGGGTGTTTCTTGTACAAAAGAAGTGTTGATATTTCTGGATGTTTTAATTATGCCCTTGCCAGCTGAAAGACCTGAATTCATTTATTTAATTTGATGCTAACCGTAGCTGGCAGGGATTATTCTTTAAAATCAGTGCTAATCTAACCTTGGGGCTTTATCTAATACCCTGCTAAAAGTGTGATACAAAATAAAATTAAAACGTTTATGCTAATAAATAAGAATAGTTAGAGGAAAAATGACTGGATGTGACTGTGTTTCAGGTGGAGATTGGAAAAACCATTAAAGCTTATGTCAGAGTTCTGGATGACTCTAAGAAACCTTTCCTGGCGAAATACTTTGCTGTCATGGATCTAAAACTTAGGGCAGCATCTCAGATTGTTTCACTTGTGTAAGTTAAAGTTTTGTTTTTTAATTTTAATTTTTAATGTGCAAATATGTTTAGATGTAGAATAAGCGAACAGTGAGTAAACATAGTGGCTTGGAGGCATGGTAGTATACAGTGACTGAGTTCTTACTTACTTTTGTAAAGTTTTAATTACCTGTGAAATGGTAAGAAATGGTTGTTTGTCAGGAAAATTGCCGAAGCTAACAGTCTAAATCTTGTTGACTGATGAATGAGACGGTATTCGTATGTGTAATATTTCACAGAGCCTTATGCATCTTGGAAGCAGTCACTTGGCAACTAATGTCAGGTGAAGAACTCTGTGAAGGCATAGCTGATGTTATCAAACTCACCTGTCGGTTTCTTAACCTTTGAGAAACAGGTAGGCTAAATCATCCTGTTGCCTCAAAACTTATTTTCCAAGCTCTAAGCACAATAATTAAAATCACAGAAAAAATTTTTCTGGACTGTGATTTTTACTGTTGAGGTAATCAATAAAAATCATTCTGCTTTGTACGGGGAAGTGTGTCTGTGTATTTGCATACACCATGCAGTAGTGCTCAGCTGTATCTATCTCCCTCCATTAAATAGTGTCAAGGTATGTAATCAAGGCTTGTGCCACTATTCTTCATACTGGTCAGATTGTTAGTGGCAGTGTTTTGGTCTGTACTAACACACACTCTTGTTTCATTTTCCTTTCAGTTCTTTCATTTTAAGATAAAACACAGGCTACAAAGAGCCATTCCATGATGTTACATGTAGAAACATGATGGTTACCTTGACTTTGCTTAAGACAGTTACTTAGTCATCCTTATGATAAAACTGCCATGCACTAAAGTCCTTTAAATTTGTTATTCATCTCGTTTATTCAATGAACTTTTCTATTTTAATGTGTTTCTTTGCTTCAGCCCACTTGGTGAAGCTCTTGATGACCATACTGCTGCTTTTCTAGTCCATGGGATGGCCATTGGTCAGACTAGTCTTATGGCAACTGTTGCTGACAAAAGAGGACAAAGAATCAACTCTGCTCCACAACAGATTGAAGTAAGTAATTTCAGATAAATTATAAGCATGAACAAAAACTATGGTATGATAGAATAGGAACAGTGTATTTTAGTTAATTCATAGTATAGTAATTAATTTGCCAGAAAAAGGAAACATTTCTGTCCAGAAGTTATCCAAACACTAGTCCATTTCAGATTTCGGTGTTTTGAACTGCAAGTGATGAGCATACTCAGTTTACTGTTACTAAGCAAGTGAAGACCCAGTTTTACACTTGTATGTACTGTTTTGCAACATAATTTATCTGATGGAAATAGCGTGAACACAAGTACTCATATTTCTGTTTTTAGGTGTTTCCTCCATTTAGACTACTGCCAAGGAAAGTGACTGTAATTATTGGGGCCATGATTCAGGTGAGGCATCTTTTTTCATATTTTCTTTCTTTTGTCATTTCTATTTTAAAATAAATGTTTCTAAGTTATTTTTCAGGAGATATTCAACTTAGCAATTTAGCTACATTCACACAATACTTCTTCTAACAAGAATGGTTTCATTCTTGAGCCACCTTCCATTTTACTGTATTGCCAGAATAAAGGTTTTGTATTTATTTGTGTCGAGTGAGTATCAGCTTCTCCCGTGTTAAATACCAGCACTGCATTAATAATCTGTTACCACCATGAAATAAAGGGTTACTGCTACGAACTGAAACACAGAGCAGTGCTGTACCTTGTGGTAAAGCAAAAGTGAGGTAGATTTTTCCAAAACTTTCTGAGCTGGGTGTAGCTTACTACATTCTACAAAGCACACTAGTCCAGTTTTGTGCTTAGCTTACTGTTGTGGTTTAGACCCAGTCAGCAACCGAGTACCGCAGAGCTGCTCGCTCACTTCCCCCCTCCCACAGTGGGGATGGGGGAGAGAATTGGAGGGAAAAGGAAAGAGAATTCATGGGTTAGGATAAGAAAGATAATAATAATGAAAATAATTATATGTAATGAAAATAATACGGCTAACAATGATAATAATATGTAATGGAAAATGAAAAAAAAACCCAACCAAACTATACAACCAGTAACTAACCAGTGACCCGAGCAGCAGTTGCTCCTCCTGGCCAACTCCTCCATCTTATATACCTGGCATGACATTTGATGGCATGAAATGTCAGTTTGGTCAGCTGTGTTCTTGTAGAGAAGAAGCTTGGGAGGACAGTGGCAGTATGAGAAACTGAAAAAGTCCTTAGTTTAATAATTAAACACTGCTTGGCAACAACTAAAAACATCATTATGTTGTCCACATTCTTCTGAGCACAAATCTAAACATAGCCTCTTACTAGCTACTGTGAAAAAAATTAACTATCTCAGCCAAAACCAGCACATTCCCATATTTCTCAGTCCGACATCATGCAAGGACCAGTGTGCAGGAGGAACAAGCCCTGAGATGCCCTGGGAAGTTTCAGACAGGCTTTTCTTACTGAAGACATTGTGGTGCTGAGCACAAAAAGGGTGTACCCTGTGACATCAACCAGAGCAAATTATCTGATGGGTTAATTTTAGTTGTTCTGTGTGATATTAATTATAGATCACTTCAGAAGGAGGCCCTCAACCTCAGTCCAACATCATTTTCTCTATCAGCGATGAGAAGATTGCATCAGTGAACAGCACTGGACTTGTCAGAGGAGTGGCAGTTGGGAATGGAACAGTAACTGGAGTGGTGCAAGCTGTTGATGCAGAGACAGGGAAGCTTGTTGTGGTGTCTCAGGTAATGTTTTATGGTACTGTTTGGGGCTGAAAGAGGCTCTCTAACTCAGGGATTTGGCTCAAAAGGGACAAATAGTCTTTTGGCTTTAGTAATGTTATCTTGTGCACGTGATTCCTTTTTTTCTTAAGGAGACGTAAAATTAGTTTCTTACTCCCTGAACTGTGAACTTCGACACATGGTGACACAAGTGGTACTTCTGACAGACGGCTAAATCTTGCTGTACCTTAAAACAAAGTTCTACTAAGAATGCAGGCAGACTTTATGAACAGTCTGATATCTTTAGAATTGATGAGTAAATCTAGAAAAGCCCATCTAAAAAAGCCTTTCTGAAGCAGCATAAGGTTGTCGTTGCCTGCCTCACCTTAGAGTTTGACGGTGTCTTAGGTCAGTAGAAGTCAGAAAGTAACTGTTGCCTAAGAAATGCATGGTCTCGTAAGCTATAGGCAGGCTGAATAGAAAGCTATCATTCTGTGCTGTGGTCTGAATCCATCTACAAAGTTCAGGCAGTGGATTCCTGATATTCCGTCAGAATCTGTGTCCATGTAACTTCCTACTATCTCAGCACAGGGAGCTGTTGAGCAGGCCTGTAAGGGAGCACAAGTCCCTGGCACTTGAATGAGACTAAGAACAATAGATCCTGGGCTTTTCATTTGAGTCAAGGCAGGACAGCTGCTGCACACCACAGAGCTCAGCTGATTGGAAGTTGTCACCACAGGCCAAGAGGAGACAAAGTAATTAAGAAACCCCAAAAATTACAAATCTGCGCTCTGTAACGCAGGGGCAGCAGTCTGCCACAATGCTGTGGCAGGAAGCTGAATGAACTTTAAAGCCAAATCTTACTGTTCACTGAGGTCCAGGTCTGACTTCCCTTCCCATTTTACAGTAGGAATAAAATCTGTCAGGGATGTCAGGATGTATGAAGAGGAGACATCAGAAATACCATCCTTTTATTCCTGATTGTCCTCTTTACCATTCTCATTTCCTTTTATTTATCTCAATGTTTTCCTTTACCTTCTGAGATTATTCATCCCTCTTCTCCTAGGGACCCCTGTGATCTAGTTCCTTGCAGTCTGTTACCTCTCAGCTCCATCATTCATGTTGTCAGTAATTTTGAGCAGAGCTCAGTTGGGTTTTTTTTGTAATTTAGGTGGCATTTTTAAATGTCTATCACCTTACAAATTTAATTTTTTTTCTGCTGAATTATGTCCATCTGTATTTTCTGGGATAAGTCACCTGCAAATCACATGGCAATAGTGATTAAATAATGGTGAAATAGTGAATAGATCCTGAAAGTGAAATCTAGTTCACATTTGACACGTGCTTACAATGTCTCCCCTTCCTCCTTTTTAGGACAAAGTGGAAGTTGAAGTAGTACAGCTGACAGCTGTTAGAATTCGTGCACCAATTACACGAATGAAAACCGGTACACAGGTTAGTTGATTTCTGATTAGCTGTATTGCCTTAAAATTTTGACCTGGAAGCTGTGACCGTTCTGATTAGGTCATCTGGTAATACCACTCCAGCTCTGAGTGGTTGCCTCCTCTGAGGGCTACCACTGCTGCTGCAGGAGTGGATATGCTGGCAGTGGAGAAGCTCCAGAGCTGTATGTATTAGAAGAGAAATCAGGCCAAGTGGACCTTGTACATCAGCCTGATTTTTCAGAAATTCATGCGCTGTGAAGAAGCATTATTGAATATGGAAAAGGGCTCTCTGTTTGCAGTACAGACTTTATTACTTTGTATGTTAAAAATCTTCTTATGTTAAAAGTCTGCTATATCCAGAAAACCAGATATTGTTCCAATTATCTTTTTAGTAAGTCTATTTGCTAAGAGTCTGTTTCCCCTCTTAGTTACTCATCACAAAATGGCTAATGGTTCTAGCTCATTGGTTCTAGGTGAATGAATGGCTTTGAAGATGAAAATAAAAAGCTGAAAATCCCTGTTTTGTGTTTGTGTTATATTGTCTTAATACGGAGAGCTGGAAGGGGAAAGTTGATGTCCAGAGCAGAGTCAATCAGGGCGATCATCTAGACAAAGATGTAGAAAACAAAGGGAGTGTATGATTTAACTAAGATGAAGTGATTTGATGCTGCAAATGGGACAAATGAATTAATGAACTTATTTTTTTCTCATGGAAAACTGGTACTCGTTTTTTGTACAGAACATAGCAAATGAGAATAAAACAAAATTTACTTTTTAAAGTTGGTGGTTATTTGAGTCTTCTACATGATACATCCTTGCAGCATACGCAGCAGCCAAACCATTTTCTTCCTAAAAAAATACCATCTCTTGATCAATGAATTTTAAGTTTAATTATGTTTGCTCTGTGCAGGTTTGGTTAGTATCCTAGAATTACCTAAGAAATTTGGTTTCTCTGTTTCTAGATGCCAGTGTATGTAATGGGCATCACCAGTAGTCAGACTCCCTTTTCATTTGGCAATGCAATACCGGGGTTAACATTCCACTGGTCTGTCACGAAGAGGGATACTGTGGATATCAAGACAAGACACAGTGAGGTAAATTTTCTGTGTGTTTACACTTGTGTATATGTGTATTTTAGGAAAGTAAACGGAATTGAGTCAATATTGTTCCTTCCACTTACTCAAAATCAGTAGCCATTGTCAGTGCTGAGTGTTGTCTTTGTTATCTGTCAATGCAATGACTAAAATTTTAACCGCTTTCTCCTCTCCAAGGCTTCTTTTCAGCTTCCTGCAAAACATAACTTCGCTATGGATGTTTATGGCAGAGTAAAAGGAAGAACAGGCCTGAAAGTTGTTGTGAAGGTCCTTGATCCTACAGCCAACCAGTTTTACAACATGGCAAGAGAACTGTCTGATGAAATCCAAATTCAGGTATGAAGATATTCCTCATAGTTCATGTTTTAATACTTATTCCAGAGCTGAATTTGAAGTCTGTGTATGAAATCAAGAATTTGAAATGCAAAGGAGTAGTTCCAGCTTTGGTTTATCTTTGAGCCCTTACTCTTGTTTGTATAATGTTTTGCTGTTTGGAAACCTCCAAGTTCCCCAAGTGTTGGTAAGGTTAACGCTGAACAGGCACACACTGGTGTGATGCCTGAATGAAATTCAGGAGTTGTTGTTGTAGACCACCTGAAATAGAGGTGACCTGTGCCTTTTGGATAAGCAGTGTTAGAGCTGAAAAAGAATTTTGCTGCTGTAGTTTCCTCTGCACAATAATACTTCTTGGGTTTAGTGCTTATCATACATATCTGTGCAAGCATATTAATTTGGATCAGGAATTAGCTTCTGAAATGAATCTCAGTGGTTGTTCCCACCAGCTGTGCTTTGGGCAGCAGTTTCAAAGTATGCAAATGGGATTTCTTTAGATGGAACAAAGCTGGAAAATGTTCTTGAGGAGTGCACCTTATGTGGGCACTCCGTTCATAGGCTCATTCTTGGGTTTAGTCTAAAGTAACTTGGGTGAATGTGGGCCTCCAACACCATTTCACTTGACAAATGGACTTCTTTCTTCATACTGCTTCACAGTATAGCTATAGCCATAGAACTAAATACTCTTCATAATAGTTTGTAGAAGATACTGCCATTCTCAAACATTCATGTTTCATTTCCATTTTTTTACCATATATACTATATAAGGTTAAAAAAAAAAAGATGTTGTAGTTTTATTTGGCCTTTTTTGTTTTGGAGGTGAAATAACTGGAGATAAATTACTTTCTGCACACAGTGGGCTAAATTGCCATTTATTTTCCAGGTGTTTGAAAAACTTCATCTAGTTACTCCAGAAGTAGAAGCAGAGCAGATCTTAATGTCACCAAATTCCTTTATTAAACTTCAGACAAACAGGTTAGTGATCAGTTTTCATACTACTTTGTGTGTCAAAGGTTTATCAAAACCATAAAGCAATTCTCTTTGAAGTCAGCTGTTTCAATTATTTTTAAAGAATATGACAGTACATCCATACCGCACACACCATATCTGGTGATTCATAGTATTTTATCTGTACTCTTGGGTTCTGTCAAATCTTGTCTTAGTTAAATTGTAGCTAGAAAATTCATTCAACATTTGGAACTTTCAGATCCTTATTTTAAAAGATGTAGAGTGATCTGCTTCCACTCAACTGTTTTATGGGCAATCAAGGCTTTATCATGGAATCTTAGAATGGTTTGG